ATTATTATTATTGATAAATATTAATTTTTATTATCTATAAATATAATTTATTATTATTAAATTTTAGTAATTAGTATTATTATTATTTTTATTAAATATCAATTATTATTATTATTTTTAAGAACAACTCAAAAGAACAGGACCTTAGTTTTAAAAAGGTTAGGTTTTTTTTTTTTTTTTTTTTTTTTTTTTTTGGAAAGGCATGATCAATTTTCATGTATAAAGTTAATTTCAAAATTAAGGTATTTATAAAGGCATGATCAATTTTTTGTATAAAGTTAGTTCCAAAATTAAGGTGTAAATGCATGATTTTTTTTATTTTTGTTAAATATTTTTTAATTAAAAAAACAGGAAGTGGACACATATCCTTCCAACATCCCGTTTTAAAATTATAGTATAGATTCTCTTTAAAAAAATATGGTTATCAAATCGTTTATTGATTTCCATGTATTACCTTTTTTTACGTGCAAATATGTTTATTTTATTTTATTGTTTACAGATATATATGAAATATGTTTATACATACAACAAAAGTTGTCACCCGAATATAAATGGCTATCATCATACAAAGGAATAAATTTTTGATATTTACTTAATTTATGCACTATAAGTGATTACTCTATATATTGATAAATTTCTATGGACTTTTGGTTTGGTCGAAATTGTAAATGTGCGGAGAATGAATGTTATCAAACAAGGAAAAGGGTGTTGACATAAACTTGTTTTAGTTATTGGTCTTTGTTAGATAACCTAAACTCCTTAGGTTGGAATGTATTCCATTGATTCATATATATAGGGTTACAACGATGAGTCCTAATACGTTTGGAAATCTCAAAAGATATCTACAGAATATTCACTAAATATATCCTTCTATACAAGATAATATATAGAATATTTATCATATTCTATCACACCCCTGCAGTTATAACGGGAGGAGGTCGGACGCTGAGACTAGATTTGAACTCCAAAAATAGTTGTCGAGGGAGGCCTTTTGTGAAAATGTCTGCAAACTGATAACGAGATGGAACGTGCAAAACTCGTACATGCCCCAACGCCACCTTCTCACGAACGAAATGAATGTCCATTTCGATGTGCTTAGTGCGTTGGTACTGTACGGGATTATGAGATAAAAAAAATTGCACTAACATTATCACAATAAACAACAGTGGCCTGCCGGAGAGGACAATGTAGCTCCAAAAGAAGATTACGAAGCCAACATGCCTCGGCAACAACCTTAGCGACGCCTCGATATTCTGCCTCTGCACTGGATTTAGAAAGAGTGGGTTGACGCTTAGACGACCAGGAAATGAGATTGTCCCCTAGAAAGCAACAATAACCCGAGGTCGAGCGACGGGTGTCTGGACACCCGTCCCAATCTGCATCAGTATAAGTAATCAATTGCATGGAGGAAGAAGGATATAAATGTAACTAGTGATCAATGGAGCCCTGAATGTAACGCAGAATGCGTTTCAATGCATCATAATGAGCCTGTTTGGGATCATGCATGAATAAACACACATGCTGAACTGCATAAGCTATATCAGGGCGAGTAAAAGTGAGGTACTGTAGTGCACCTGCAAGACTACGATAGAGTGTTGGATCATGAAACTTAGGGCCTGTCTCTGCACTAAGCTTGGATTGAGTATCCACTGGAGTCGCCGCAGGTTTACAACTAGCCATGCATGCGCGCTCTATAATTACAAGTGCATACTTCTGCTGAGACAAAAATATATATGAAGGAATACGAGTAACAGCAATGCCCAGAAAATAATTGAGAGGACCAAGTCAGTCATTGGAAATCCAGTACGTAAGTGAGAAATGATGCGGTCACGCAAAAGATTTGAAGAAGTAACCAACACAATATCATCAACATATAGTAGCAAATATGCCATGTCTTTCCCATGTCGGAAAATAAATAAAGAATTGTCACTTTTAGCAATGACAAACCCCATCTGCAAGAGAAAGTTGGCAAACCGCTGATACCAAGCCCTTGGAGCTTGTTTTAAACTATATAGAGTCTTGCAGAGCCTGCAAACATGGCCTGGAAACCTCTTCTCAACAAACCCGGGTGGTTGATGCATGTATACACACTCATTCAGATCACCATGCAAAAAGGCATTTTTTACATCAAGTTGGTGAATAGACCACCGACGAGCCATAGCCAAACTCAAGACTGTACGTATAGTGGCCGGTTTAACAACCGGACTGAAGGTTTCATCACAATCAACGCCTTCTACCTGAGACCTGCCATCACAAACTAAACGAGCTTTGTGTCTTTCAAGATCACCATTAGCATTCAATTTATGATGAAACAACCACATACAGTTAACAATGTTCACCCCCGCAGGCTTAGGAACCTAATCCCATGTCCCTGTTTCAATTAAAGCACTAAATTTATCACGCATCGTAGCATTCTAATTTTGGTCGAAAAGGGCTTGTTTGTGATTTTTGGGAAGCAGGGAACGGATGATTGCGGATAGACCAAACTTTGGGTTTGGTTTGACTATTCTGTGCTTAGACCGATTGTGCATTTGAGGTGATAATGGTGGTGGTCTAGTCGAAGTAATTGGCGTAAGGCCGCGAAGTGGGGGTGGTGTGTATGTGGATGAGGTGCCTGGAGAAGGGATTGGGTTGGTTGGCATAGTAAGGCTGCTGGGCTGATTTGAGATAGGTGAATTTGGCGGCAATCTGGGCTGGTTGGCGCGTTGCTGGGCCGTAGAGGATGAGGCTGTTGGGTTGGTAGGTGCTGCGCTACCTTGGGATGGCAGTGTGGGCCGCAACTCACCTGTGGTAGGGTGAGCTACGCCACAACCTACCTGTGGAGTAGGCTGGGCTGCTGCGCCAGCAAGGATGTGGGTAGGCAGTGAGTGCCGTAACCCACTTGTGGCCTGCTTGGCTGCGCCACAGCCTCCTTGTGGAGTGGGCTGGTTGGCTTGGTGTGGTGTGGTGTGGGTTGCATAAGGATGTGGTGTTGCAAGAGTGGTGATGGGTCATCCGAAGCTAAAAAATCGTAATCAGTCGATTGAAACTTAGTGATGTGTGTAAATGGAAGAGTATGTTCATCAAAAGTGACATGGCGAGAGATTATGATTTTATTGGTGGTGATATCCATACACCTCACTCGCCAGTGGAAAAGATGCATGAAACAATAGAGTACGCTTAACATTGTTTAAGAGTACGTATCATGCGTTTGGCTTTGCCATTTTAAGAAGATGTGTGAGGACAAGAGAAGTGAAAAACCAATTCATTTTTGACACAAAATAATTTGAACGGGTCATTGTCGAATTCTCGACCATGATCACTTTGAAATGATTTAATAAGACGTTCAAATTGAGTTAGAATATATTGTCAAAAATTAAGAAAGGTTTGGAAAGCATAAGAATTATACACAAGAGGAATAGTCCACACATAATGAGTATAATCATCCAAATAGAACTAAATAATATTTATGTCCTTTATCACTACGAATAGGAGAGGTCCACAAATCAGCATGAATAATGTCAAAAGCAGAATAAGTAGTGCTATTGGAATTATGAAAACGCAAGCGAGTATGTTTTCCTAATTGACAACCTACGCAAAACTTGGAGTCATGCTTGATTAGGGGATTTTCCCCCCACCACGTGGACCAATCAAGTCCTGCCACGTGTCCGCCATGTGGACCATTCAGGGCCTTCTACGTGTCACTCTACGAGTGGTCCAACATGGACCAATCATGCCACGCCACGTGGCCCATGATCTGCTAACCTGGAAAACGGCCAACAAGGCCTGAATCCCGAGGTAGGCCCAATCAGTCCTAGGTTTACCATTTAACCTAGTATTGGGCACGCACTTCGAGGCTATAAATACTGGTAATTAGTATCCATTAAACACAGACAATTAATTAATCCAGAGATTACCACACGTGCATACTAATTGCTAGACCTTACTTAGCATTAATTGCACTCTTTCCAAGGTTTCCCACTGAAACTAGCCTGATCACTCCTCTCTTCGGAGGAACCAGATCACCTTTACTTTCCGCACCTTTTACTCTTAAATAAACACGTTCTAACTTGATCGTCGGAAGCGGAGCTCCCACCACCCAGGGTCTCCGTTGTTTTGAAGGTACGGGCGCACGGTTCCAGTCCTGGAATTGTAACTCTCCCGCAGGACACCAGAAAACCCCAAAACAATGCTCTTTATTACAATCAATCAGACTTTTACTCCTAAGAAAATTAAAATGGGTGCCTCGGGATGTCCTAAGCGGTTGTGCCACGGAGACGGAGACAAGGTTGTGAAAGAAGTGGCTAGACACAAGCTGTCGGTGCGGTGGTCATAGAATAAAGGTCCCCAATACTATTGCATCTGGTTATTAGTTTCCCCGTTCGTAGATCCTTCACAGAATAGCCATTAGGATCAAACTCAATTGACACAGAATTATCAAAACTAAACTCTAATAGAAATTAAATTTTTGATAATTTGGGGAGCTAAATAAACATCACGGAAGGAAACAGAATTATTTGCAATAGTGGAATGACCATAACCCGTAATTGGAATGCGTTGACCGTTACCCACTTGAATATAATTAGATATGCTTAAATTAAAAAGGGGCAAGAGACTACCGGCATTATTTGTCATGTGGGAAGTAGCTCTGGAATCCATGTACCAAGCCGGGTCATAGTTGGGGAAACTTATTGTTGCAAATGCATTACCAAGCTCGGATGGAGTCATTGGCGAACTATACTCCGATCCATGAGAGGGGTAAGCCGCTTGAGACTGTTGTGAGGGCCCAAGAAAATAGGCTTGCCGTGGCCTTGTGGGCTGAGCTGGGGCGAGTATGGTGGGTGTGGGCCAGCCCACTGTTGAGGATAAGGGAATGGCGCCAGACCCCATTGTGGGGAGGCTTGTTGGGTCTGATTGCTTGGGCCAGTCCACTATGGAGCCTGTTGAGGTGCGCCCCATTGTGGAGCCTGTTGTTGCGAAGGCTGTTGCTGCTGTGGCGAACCTCGACCTCGACCCTTGCCTCAACCTCGGCCACGACCACGACCTCTGCCATTGGAGCCGCCAGCCTGACCAGCCGGTGCCGCCTGCATCTGTAGAGAGGCCGACGAACCTGAAGTGTTGCCAGATTGAGCCACAAATGATGATGCTTGTGGTGATGAATCACTGGCGCGCCTCGACTCCTCAAGAAGCAAGCATGATATCACTGTTTCAAAGGAAGGCAACGAGGTAGTTTGTTGTATCATTGCAGCAACAGTATCAAAGTTGGTATTTACTAGCCCCGAAACTAGTCGAATGACTAGTTTTTTCTCCGACACGGGTTGATCAACATTAGCAAGTTGATCCTTCAAGTTCTTTATTAATTCCCGACAATAAGAAGAGATGTCAGAGAATTTTGACAGGTGCAATTGATTAAATTGGTTTTCCAGATAAACCACCCTAGTGGTTTTATTATCTTGGAAAATTTCCTTAAGTTTATTCCAAACTTGTTGTGTCGTATCCCCTTTACACAAGATTGTTTCTAGCAAATCAGTAGAGATGGTACCATAAATCCCATTCTTGACAACGAAATCAAGCATTTTCCACATAGTGTTGGAAAGGTCTGTAGGACGTGGTGTTTTTGGGTCAATATGATCAAGAACATCAAAAACATGAGCATGATACTCAAATAACTCAACCCAATTGGAATATTGGACTTTTTCACGATCAAGAATTAGAGGCATAGCATTCTTAATGTTACTAATACCAAGAGCCGGATGAAAGACTGAGGATTCACCGTCCTTGACCATGGTGGAAGACGACAGTGGTGTTAGGGGTGGCTAGGGGGGAAGGCTAGAGCACAAAAAAAATAAAAATAAAAATTCAGGAAAGGAAAAATTTGCAGAAGCTAGGTTTGGATCTAAAACCTAGGCTGTGATACCATGTTGGATAATGTAAACTCCTTAGGTTGGAGTGTATTCCATTGATTCATATATATAGGGTTACAACGATGAATCCTAATACGTTAGGAAATCTCAAAAGATATCTACAGAATATTCACAAAATATATTCTTCTATACAAGATAATATCTAGAACATTTATCATATTCTAACAGTCTTATTACCCTTTTGCATAGTACGTGAAGAAGATTAATCCGTGCCTTTTCCATTGAACATAACAGAGTATATGTACAACTACAATAGAATAATTAAGCTATAATAATGGTAACTCACTAGCTAAAGATAGGTACCGAATATACACTTAACAAACTAAGAATATATACTATAATATAAAGAGAATATATTCTCACAGTACGTATAATTGCGTTTTTAATCATGATTTGAGTTCCAAAATTAATTGTGCAAATTGTGAGACAAATTCAGTTGAAGAAAGTATATATAAACACTTGGGTTCTTATATAGGGAGGAGTTCTTACCGGATCCCTCCCCTATATATATATATCAGTTACAACAAATGGACATATACAAAATTGCTAGTGGTTAATGGCATGAGCAAGAAGCTAGTGAGTGATTACCAAATATTATGGATTAGAAATACTACTAATGAATGAAGTTAGTTTATTTAGCAATTGACATTTTGATCTAAAAAAAAAAAGAAGAAACAAAAGTAAATTAATATTGAATAATGACATGACCAAAGTACAACGTATATTACACTGATGGGCTGCTTACATATAAGCAGATTTATTCAAAGAAACAAAAGTAGAGGCTTAAAGGATATAATTATACATTATATGAGAAAATAGAAACGATGGATAGATAAATAACTCGCAATCGCATATATGTGGCATCAGCAAGCTAAGTGAAGTGCAAGACTGTGCGCGAGTGGAAGCATGAACTTATTTAAGCAACAAGAAGAGGATTAAAAGGCAGTAGGCGGGCAGAGAGAACAAAAGCAGGTTTGGGATCACAATTGGGGGCTTCATTAGGGAATGCAATGAAGGGGAAGGGTGGACTGTCACCTCTGTCAGAAGTAAACTGAAAAAGTTTAAAGACAACGAAATCGTAAACTTTGCCACCGGTTATGGTCATGAGCCCTTTAGGGGTCCAGGGTGGGATATTACCCGAGAGATCGACAGTGACTCCCTCAACGTCGGCGAGTTCCCTATAAGATAAGGTCGCCGAAATCTCTTGTTTGCACATCACAACATTTTTTACTCCAATCAGTTCTCTAGTCACCACACAATCACCCGTCAAGGAAATTGATAACCTGATGGAGTTTTTGCTGATAAGATCGCAGCTGAAGCTCTGCACATTACTAGGGAAAATCGAGGGTGGTAAATCATAATGTTTCAGGATTTCGGTGATTGAAGAAGCAGGGCATTTGGTGTGGGCGGAGGACAGTGTTAGAGTAAGAGTAAGTGTGAGGAGAGCGAGGGAGATAGTGGCGGTTTTTGGCGACATTTTCGTTATTTGTTGAGACTTGGATAAATGTGTGTTTGTTAGATTGCTGTTGGAGCATGCACTTCATGCTATTCTATTTATAGATTGGAAGGTTAGCTTCCATCATAAGTTCTAGCTTTTGGTTGAGTTGGTCCTTTAACATGATACAAAAAACTTAACTTGCGGATATATTCTGTTACGTTTCCTCACATGAGTGACCGTTAGATTTGCAACATGGGTCATGCCTTGTCTAGCACCCAATATTCCATTGGGGGTGGATGAAATTTGAACCCGTAACCTTTTTAATTTGTCACATGGCTCTTGATACCATGTTAAATGACTAATTCGTCAAAAAAAAAAAAACTTAAGCTCACAGTTGAAGCTCAAGATTGGTTTTATATATTTTATAGTTTATACACATCCTCGCATGAGAATTAATTAGCTTAGGCTTAAAGTGTAGATGCAACATAGAATAAGTTGCCACAAAAATCAATAAAATTTTTAATTGAGAGATGGTGAAATCTAACTTTTTTCATTTTTATGGCTAGTTGAAATAAAAATAAACGAAAAAAACAAGTGGTTAAATTAAAATAGGGTGTTTTGAGAGATTGTAAAAATACGATTAATTCTATAAAAAAAAAAATCCCACTTCCCCACCCTTTCTCCGATTAATTAAAAATACGATAAATGTTCCACTAATGTACCTTCTCTCTTCTTTTTCTTCGTTTTTGAAGCAACATTATTAAATGGGTAAATATTTATGTAAAAGTGTAAGATATGATAATAATCTATCTACTCTCTTCCTTTTTAAATATTTGCTTCATTTTTTTATGCGCGGAGTTTTAGGGGAAATTGGAGAAAATAATAAAATATGAGGTAGTGGGGTTGGTGGAAGAATAAAAAAAATTTAAAAAACAAAAGTATTTGAGAAAATATGAAATTAATAAATATGATTTATGTTGGGTCCACTAGTTGACAGAATAAATTAAATACTGTAAAAACTTTCAAAATAAGGAAATGTAGCAAGTATTTAAAATTATTTGTCGAAATCTACATTATTTTGTGATGATATTTGATACAACAGAAATTTTATCTTGGATTGAGTTTAGGGGTGAAAGTTCGGTATTCGGTTTGGATTTTACTCCAAACCGAATCCAAACCGAATTATTTTGGTTTCAGATTTTTGAAACCGAATCCAAACCGAATTTGGATTCAATCCAATCCAATCCAAACCGAAATAATTCGGTTTTGAAAAATGAATCCAATCCAAACCGAATTTTTTTGGGCTGTCATTTTGGGCCTTAAATTTGGGCTTTTATTTGGGCCTATTGTTTTAGTCATTTTAAAGGCCTAAATTTTGTACGTTTCCTGAACAAATTTTTAAGAAAAAACTAAAGTCTTTAAGACTAATATTTGTCACATTAAGTAATAGCATAATTATTAAAAAAAAAAACATTCCAGCCATTAGAATAAAATTACAGACATAATAGAAATCTTAAAAATGAAATAACAGTCCAACAGCAGCAAACTTAATTCAATTGGCATCAGCTTAATGAAACAATGGCAGTAGCTTAATTGGCTGGCAGCTTCAACTCCTCAACCGTTCAATCAAGCTCAACCAAGTCTTGGTTATTTTGACCACCACCAATTGTGTCAAATTTCTCAACTAACAACAGAAACAAAAAAAAACAAGTTACATAATATATATGAAATATTGAAAAAAAATATCATATAATAATTGTTGTTATTAAAACATATCAAACAGAGGCTATGGGTGAACATCAATTATCACCAAACAATCAATCTATCACCAATTCGAACATCAAATATCACCAAACGATCAATCTATCACCAATTCGAAGTTTTCGAACAAAATAAAGGAAATCTAGGGACAATTGGACAAAGGAAAATTCACCAATTTGAACTATAAAACATCAAATTCACCAATTCACAAAGGAATATTACCATTTCGAACATAACAAAACATCAAATTCGCAAAATCGAAGAGAAGCAGGAAAAGAGAAGTGAAATCTGAAAAGAGAAGGTATTCTTACCTTTGACTGAATCAGAACGTGGTGGTGACTGGTGAGCGTTGAGCGGCGGTGAGATACCGAAGTACCGGACTGGTGGTGGACGGACGGAGTGAGGTGGTGAGGGAGAGAAGAGGGAAAATCTAGGGTTTTGGTGAGGGAAAGTGAAACTGTGAAAGGGAAATGGGAAAAGAGGGGACGAAAAGATCTAGGGTTTTGGATATATATATGTCATAAAATGGGCTAGTTCGGTGTTCGGTTTTCGGTTTTTCGAATTCCAAAACCGAATCCACACCGAAATATTTCGGTTTCTATTTTTTCAAACCGATCCAATCCGAAAACCGAAAAAAACCGAACCAAATTGCTTATTCGGTTTGGATTGGTTCGGTTTTCGGTTTTTATCCAAATTACTTTCACCCCTAATTGAGTTTATACCTACATTTTTTTTCCCATGGATTGGTTGTAGAATTTTTATCATGGTATAAAATAAATTTTGATACCACAGAAATTAAAGAATATATCAATCAACCAATTATATTTGGCAGCATTTAAGAATAAGTCAATCAATCATGTTTGGCACCATTAAAAATTGTGTTTCACGAATTGGCAAGAGTCCAAGCTCATGTGTGAAGAGGATCTTTATCTCAACCGTTGAATCGGTTGAATTTAGAGGCTAATATTACTGGCGTGTCATTATTCATTAATAGCACGGTGATAAATAAGTGAAAGTTCAACCCAAATTATTTGTGGCAATCGCATTATTAATGTACCTCTAAAAATAATCTAATGTACCTGTAACACATCATTGATATATGATGCAAAGTTCATATTATTCTGATATACCAGCAGTACTATTCTTCTTTGGCGATTAGGATAATTGTTTCTAGTTGCAGACTTGAAGCAATTTTGTTGTTTATTTATGCTGGCTAGAGCAAGGAAGATGAAGAAAAAGGATTTTTAGAGGTTCGTATATAAATGTCCACACTTTATTCTTAAAATTTTTAAAAACAATTAACAATAATGAGAGCAACTATGTAAATAATCATTTTCAAATGGTATAATGTCCAATAATATTTATAAGAGTTATCTCAAAAAAATTTAAAATGTAGAGATAAAATAAATATTTTATGGGCATAACCGTCTCATCAACACTATTTCATTTTTTTTTTTTTGAGGAATCAAAAAAGTTTATTTTAGAATGGGTAAATACATAAATAACCATCTTTGAGTGCATAATTATCTCAACATCTATTAACTATTACTAAAACAAAACATTGCTGACACCATCACTCCTCAAAACTGTATACGTGTCGCTTTCTTATGAAATTTTTTCTTGCCTAAAACCATTGATTATGTCATTTTTTTTTGTGATAGGTTTTTTTTTTGAAAGGATTTTTTTTTGTGTGTGTAATACTTCGTAAACAAGCTAAGTAAGTTCTTTCAACAACTTTAATCTAGAAAACCGAGGTATAGTAAATTGAATAGCATTTGTATTCCTTTCTTTTGATCTAAAGATCTATCATTCCCTCTCCCCAATTCCTTAACACTAATATTTAAACGTGCAGAAATTTCCTGGAATATTCAAACTTTATTTCTTTTAAGAAATCTCCTTCCAATGAATTTATGACAAAATTGAAAAGATTCATTGTCTATACGAGTTCTATACTATAATTTTTTTTATTAAAACCGTGCATCGCACGGGGATGTTCTAGTTATTCGTAAAAGTGCAGTCAATTTTTAATAGGGGTAAATATGTAAATAAATAAGCATTTTTTGGGATATAATTGTCTCGATACTATTCATATGAGTTTAGTTATACTTTTAGAATGGTAGGGATATACGTGGGTGAGAATTATCAAATGATATTAACCATTCAAATGAACGATTTTCATATATGGTACGTGACTCTTACCAAGGGTGGTTCTGAGGAGGGTGGTCGATCACACAGGGCCCCTAAGTAAAACTACTATAAAAGGGCTCTTGTTTTTGAAATTTACTTATAGAGAGTAAAGAGAAAACTTGTTAATCAATAATCTATTCTTTAATTTTATCACAAAATTTAAGATTTCACAATTTTTTGTTAAAAAATTAATTTTAGGACCTAATTTAACAAAATTGTATCGGGCCATTTCTAGTGTTAACATTTGTAGCCCTGCCTCGCTATCACTCATACTTATATATGGGAGAGAATAATCAAACGATATTAACCAATCACTTCAAAAATCAAGTTTGGCTCCATTTAATTTGAGGGCATGCATGGGGTTTACAATATTTTACATTATCACTGAGGGTTACATAAGAATTATCTACGTCTCAAATTTTATTTATTTATTTTTAATAGATCTACGTTTAATTAAATCTACTGATTTTTCTCTTTCAAAAAATCTATTGATTTTTCATGTTATCTTCCAATTTATGATGCATGGACAATTCAATAACTACCGTGTTCATGTCAGATATCGACACTCGTTGGACACACGATGATAGATCTTGGACCATGTTATACTATGATACAATCCATTGTGCTTTTTGATTTGTCACCTTATCTTTTCAAATTTTTGTAAAATGAGAAAATATAATTAAGTAAGATAGATTAGGTAATATATTATAGTAAACTAATAGTAATGCCTTCATAAAAAGCCCATTATTATATGTGAACTAAAAGATCGAGTAGTATTATGATATTGTTAACATAATGTAGTTTGATCTAATGAAGATCAATGAGGCAAATACTTTACGCTAATCAATTTGATAATTTGTAATATTTACATTTATGATTCTAAGAATGGGTCATGTATATGAATCTTAACATTCTGTATCCGTGTCGCTTATTTTTAGATTGATGTTTTTCCGTATCCGTTTCGTACTCATATCCCTGAAAAAATTCTACTATGGTCATTCTTATTATGATCACCGTATACTTCAATGTGAATGACCGATTTTTACTTTTTGTTAAATCTTGTCAAACCTTTTTTTTTTAATTTTTTCTATTTTTAATTCTTTTTATTTTATTTTTAATTAATTTTTTATTTTCTGAAAATCTTTTTGTTTTTCAA